GGCAGTGTATATATATATATATATATATATATATATAATGTTTCATTATGTTTGTGAAGATTCTCAGTTATCCAGGTCATTGTAGAATATTAGTAGATTATGGTCAAATGGACATGCATGGACAAATATATACAAAATATAAACAAATGGAGTATATTTTGTTTTTGTCTCACAACATGCCAGAGAACTTACAGTTTGTGGTCCATGGTGTATGTTTTTTTTGTTTATTGCATTATAAATTTTTTATCTCTCTCTCTCTCTAGACTTAGTTTGTCTCTAAATATCTCTCCAACAAGTGAAACAGTGAAAAAAAACCTATTTTTTTTTTCAGACACTGAAAACATTTTAATTAAAGATTAGTTTACTGACTGGAACAGTTACTGTAGAGACAGATGAATGTGATGGGGTGAACAGCGCAGGGGTTTGATTTAATTGTGACCGGCATGCTTTAGCTTGTTCGGTGACAGCACTGGTGCTTGAACCTCCCCTGCTGTTTAGCTCTATAATAGACCTGATACTGTATCTTTACTTTCCTTTGGGATCTTGCTGTTTGTGGATGTGCTTGTCACTACATGCCCTTCAATCAGCACAGCGACACACACCTGAATCCTCTTCCCAAGTGAAAGGGAGAAATACACACAAGCACACTGAGTTCACAAACAAGAGCCTGTCACGTTACACAATATCTGCTCTTAACGCTTCAATGTGAATTAACACATAATGATCAATTTGGCAAATGCTCACTTACCTCAGAGCATGTTAGGGCATCATAATTAATTTTCTAATAGAGCTGAGAAATTGGCAAAACAACAATACATTACACTTATTACATTACTTCCTTCTTTGAGATTGCACTAAAGGCATGAGTAGACGAATGAATATTTAAAGACATTTATTTGTTGTATGAAATGCTAATATATAAAGCCACAGATAAAAACTGATGCTGTGGGATTGTTTTTCAGCCAACTGTAATAAAAATGTGTGCAAAAACAGCTGAATAATGAATGTAAAATGTCTTTGGATTAAAAAATATAATAGTATATTGTGGGCTGCAATAATAACTTTTGCCTTATTTTCTAACGATAAACACCTAATTTGCCACACATAGACAGAACTTTACCAGATTTTCCAGTCCTGGAATAATTCCACGAATCCCAGGTCATTTCTGACAGTTTTGTTATTGTTATCTAAAACTATTAAATATCGTGTTCATTAATTGAAACAAAGGTAAAATAAAAAAATATTACATAAAAATTTTAACATGAAAAGAATTGACAGCTAACTGAAATAAAAGTGTAAGTTGAAGTACTAAAATTACTAAAAGTAAAATAATGCTAAATGGAAACAAAAGACAAAATAATACAATAGAACATGTAAATTAACACTATCACTAAACGGGGGTGGGGGGGTAATTAATATTACACTTTTTCCCCTTATGAAATATTTCAGATGGCTATGCAAGGATTTATCAGAATGTTACGGTTGTCTCTTACACAGCAGTGTCAATAAATCTCTTCACATGCACGCATATACCAGCTGTGCACACAATTTATATTTATATTTTATAGTATTAGATATTTTACATTTTTTATGAACTACACCAGAAGTGTGAACCAAATGCAAACGATATAAGATCAATCAAAGATCTTGTGATGAGAGAAATCTGAACACAGAGTTCTTTATTAAAGCTCAGTTTGCATTATACAAATATCAGTTTCTAACTGCATGCGGTGGCTTGGTCTGAGGCACAATACTAAGGTAAAACAGCATTGCTCAGGTTTAGACAAAAAAAAAAGAAGGGGGAGGGGAGAATCAACATAAAATTGCATAAATTAAACTGAATATCATGTAACATTGCAGTTTACCCACTAGGAATTTAAACTTGTTAGCTGTATTTCTATTAGACAAGTAAAATATACACACGGTAAAGGTGACACTGACAAAAAGACATTAAGAACAAGATTTGCGATTAAGGAAATTCATCTTGCATTGAGTTTTTTGCCATTGTGACAACAGAACGTTTTGAAATGAAATATTTAAAGACAATAAATACCGAGCATGTTATTCATATCACAATTCTCTACATCATAAATTAGACAAAGGGCTAGAGACACAGATCTCCATTTGAGCCCAATCAAAGCCCCCTCTCTCTAGACATAAGAACACGCTTCTGTTAAAGGAGTGGAATATTAATAATGAGGCCACACACACACAGGAGGACTCAAATATTGACAGTAACTCGTGGTCCAAATTCAGTTAAGCACAATTTAGCTCAAAAGAACTTGGCGTTCTTTGCGGGATGATGCCCCTCATCTGGTGTCCTGTCAATAACCTATTCTTCCTCCTCCTGTAAATCTCCTTTCATTTGCCTTTGAAAACCCTATTGCTCTACCTAGCACACACACAAAAAAAGAAGAAAAAAAAGGCCTTTATTGGTGAAAATAAGTACACTGTTGATCTTACATGTTTATAAGACCAGCCTAGGCAAACTCAACCACGGTGATGTAAAATGCAGACATCAGTAATAACACATTTTCTCACTTATCACTATTCAAATCTCAAAAATCCTTTGCCTGAAAAGACAGAAGAAAATAATGCAGCATAAAATAAAGTCACATCCCTGAAAAACAAAGTAACTGGGAAAAAAAAAAAAAAAAAGTAAAAACAGGCACAAATTTCAGGAGGTCTCCAGATTTAGGAGTCTCCTTCACAGCAAAACCTCTGTGATAAACCAACCCGTCCACAGCGTAAGAGCGTCATTCAGCAAACTGTCTGATCTCATCCATCTTTGGCAAATAAACATCGATTGGTCATGTTTAAGGAGCTACTACTGCAAGTCTTTACCTGCCACTTCCATAGAAGGGGTTCAGGTAAGAAATCCAAACCAAAATCAACACTGCACAAACTGAGTTAATGAAAAAACGTTTATCTTAAAGGCAGAACGCAGCAACACTTGGAACTTAATGAGTGGATTTGCTTAAAAAACGGCTTTCTTCGTGTCATGCTGCACATGGACAGTCAACTGCCCTAAAATGATCTTAGATCTTCAGTGGCTACGACAGAAAGCATGGAGGAGTGACCCGTCACAATGCATTAAACACAGAGAGCAGATTAAAAAAAAAACCTAATCAATGTATCATCATTATTATCATCAGTGATGAGGATAATGACAACAACAATTATAATACCAATATTACAACCGACCCCAGATAATGAGGCGGAACTGAAGTGGCGTTGTCAGTTTAACGCCAATCACAGTACAACCTGCCATTGTAGGGAATGTTCCGGTCTCAGTGGGACAATGACAGGGCGGCGTGACTAAAGGGGGTGGTGGGAGTGGAGAAAAAGGATTTGGGGGGGAATGTAGCAGTACTGGGAAAAGGGGAGGTAGAAGAGGAGTCGACAAGGATAAATCAGAAGGTACAATAGTCCACTGTTCTACTCCCACTCGGTGGTTCCCGGTGGCTTGGACGTCAGGTCATACATCACTCTGGAGATGCCTGGGATTTTCTTGATCTCGTTGACCATCTTGAGAACCACCTGTGGCCAGAGGAGCACGAGTTAGTGTGTGTGGAAATGATGTAGGGTTTATGTGTGGACGGAGGATCTGCTCTCTCACCTCTTCAGGGATTTGGTTGTCTGGAGTAGCGGCGATGCCGGTCATGAAGTCACTGGTGATGAAGGTTCTGATGACGACGGACCGTCTGCAGGACGGCTGCTTCTGCAGTGGGTCACGATCAAAGTGCAGTGGGGTGAGGATGACTGGCATCTGGCTGATCTTATTTGAGTAGCCTGGATATCAAGCAAAAATTGATACAAATATATTTTAATATATGATATTGACAACTTATCCATTTATTTTTATTTCAATAGTCCTTGTTAATAAAGATAACAGTCTCGGGGGTGTCACAATATAACAGTATTGAAGATATTTATACTGTACATATTTTTAAAAAATTAAATACTGATATAATGTTAGTGCCCCCATTATGCCATTTCTAAGGTTCCTAATATTGTTTTGGGAGACTCCTACAAAAGTTTTACATGCATGCAAGGTCAAAATAGGCATTTAATATCACCTCATTTTCCAACGATTCTCAAATGAATCGTTCAAAGCATTTCTAAGATTCAGTCTCTCTAAACCCCTCCTTTCCGTGAGTCTACTCTGCTCTGATTGGTCAGATGGCCCAGTCTGTTGTGATTGGTGACAATATAGTACTGTCGCCCACATCCAAAAAACGTTTGTGTGGGAGGTTTTTGAATTCAGTAAAAAAGAAGAATATTAAGCAGAATAAATAAGATTATATTTTATATATTTTTTGAAGAATATGGGTAACCAAACAGTTGCTGGTCCCCACTGATCTCCAAAGATTGAAAAAAAAATACCCATATTCCTTAAAATATTTTCTTTGGTTTTCAGCAGGGGAAAAAAAAAAAAAAACACATACAGGTTTGGAACAACTTGAGAGTGAGTAAATGATGACAGAATTTTGGGGTATTTTGGATCACATATTTATAAAATGTTATATCTAGGTTCAAATGTAATAGTATATAAACTGAAAAAGTTATGTACATTGTGTTTTACATTTTGAGGTAAAGATGATGAAGATCAAGTCAGGCATCCCAGGTGTCTGAGACATTAACCTTTTGACTTTATGCACTTACTGACCATTGGGAAGGGTCCCAAGTTAAAGGTGAATGCTAAGCTCAAGGCACAGCTGTGCCTTTGTCTCTGTGATAATGTGAAGGTATGGGCGATACTGTCAGGCTGATTGGATTAGCACCTATGCATTTGAATGACACTGTTATGC